CCGGCTCCGCCTGGGCCCCGCTGGCACCGGGGCCGTCACAGTCGCGGCTGTTGCGATCCCCCGGTGGGGACGGGGGGTCGGGGCATCCCTCGAGCCCCCCCGGAGACCCCCGGGCCCCCGGGCCCGTGTCGGTGCCGCCGCCGCTGTTTACCCCCATTTTTTGGGCCGGTTCCACCCGATTCCCTTTGAAGTCGACCCGTTGTCGTGACGACGCTGATGTCACGACCGGGCGGGGCCTCGTGGGTCCCACATGGCGCCGGCAGAGCCCCGGCCCCGCGGCCACCAGGGCCACCAGGGCCACCAGTGCCAGGGCCACCGCGGCCATCAGCCCCAGGGCCACCAGRGCCACCATGGCCACCAGCAATGGGGACACCAGGGCTGTGACAGCGGGTCCCGACACGGGCTGGGGGTCACGGGGGTCCCAACACGGGTTGGCAGGGACACGGTGACACTGAGGCACCAGGGGATGCGGGTCCTGGCCCGTCAGGCAGATTCGGGGGGTCCCAGAGCTCCCATCCTGCCATGGGGACACCGAGGGGACACTGGGGACGTGGCATGGCCAGGAACACGTTTCATGCCCCACACTTGGGGTGGGTGTCACGGTGCTGGGACGGGGAGAGGCACCAGAGCCGCGTCCCAGTGCTGTGTCCCCATCCCGGTCCCGGTCCCRGTCCCGTGTCCTCCTGCCATGTCCCCGTCCTGTCCTGGTCCTGCCATCCCTCCGTGGCCCAGTGCCACCATGTGCTTATCCTGTCCCCAGGAAAACTCCACTGCCCCCGGATCACCCCCAAACCCCTGGAGCCCCCCGGGGTGACCTCCCACCAACCTCACCCCATTCCCACAGGTGGGACCCGGCCGTGGCGTCAGCGCTGAGATGGCACCGCGGGAGCRCCGGGACTGTCACCGGGGTGTCTGCTGTCCCCGAGCCTCGCCAGACATCTGGGCTGCCCCGCTGCTGCCCGCCGGGGTTCCTGGCGATGGGATTTTTTACCGTTTATGCCCAAAATCACATTGCCAGGGATTTCCAACGGGCCCCAGCCCCCGCCACCGCGCCGGGGGGCGGAGAAGGGGCTTTGTGGGGTCCTGGGGAGCTTTGGGGGAGCTCGGGAGCGTTGTGCATGTGCTGCGGGTGTTTTGTGGGGGTGTCAGGGGAGTTTGGGTGCAGGGCGGTGGGGGGTGGTTTTGGGGGGCTGGGGGGTTTTGGGGGTTGGGGGGCAGGGCTTAGCCCACCTGTGAACAGAGTCCAGCGCGCCGTGTTCACAGTGGCTAAGTTCCGCCTCCCGCTCCCCCGCCCGGACACTGAGGGCCCCCCAAACCCTTGGGGCTCTCCCGGACACCCCCAACCACCCCTGGATCCCCTCCCTGGGCTCCCCCCGAATCTCTGATCCCCCAACCACCCCTGGATCCCCTCCCTGGGCTCCCCCCGAATCTCTGATCCCCCCCGGCGCTGCCCCCAAACCCCCGAGTGCTCCTGGACGCTGAACTCCGCAGGGACTGTGGGACTGCTCTGACACMTTGGGGCACCCCAAACCCTGGGGGACCCCCGTGCCCCCCCGGGCGCTGCCCCCGGTGCCCGCTGAGCTGATTTGCAGTTGCTTTGGATAAACTGGCTCAGTTCAGCAGGAACAGGGGTCGGGCCCCCACACCCCTGAGGATCCCCAACTCCCCCTGAACCCTCCAACCGCTCCCGGG